CAGAGACAAGACTGTGAGTCCTGGTGACAACATTTTGTTGAATACGAGGCGCGGGACAGCGAGCACTAAAAAGGTATAGGCAATACAGAATACTAAGACAATACTAGCACGGTGCAGGAGAATGCGTATACAAACGACCAACGCTTGACCTTATCTGCTTGGGGTCGGCATAGTTCGTCAAAGGCGTACTAGCTGGGGGCCAGGGTGACCGTGCCTCAGCCTCGGTTCAAACAGCCTGGGGGCCAGCAATGTCTGTTTCTGCCCCTCCCCCTTCCACTTTCAGTGCAGTGGCGGTCGCAGAGGGGGATCAGGGCCATGCCCTTCCCCCCTCCAAAGGCTAATCAGGGGGCCATCATATCATTTGGCCCCCCCAAACAACCAATGGGCCCCCATGGGCGTATGGGGCTCTGGCCCTTATTCGATTGTCACGAGACTCAAGAATCCCACGCTAGCTATTAACAGCTCCCAAACCAGTCTTTGAGGGTCCTACACTGATCTCGGAGGGCCCTTCAGTGGCGGTCAAGCGCCCACATTGACCGCTGAGAACCCACATTGACCTCATTTGAGGGCCCCTAAACCGGCCTCAAGGGCCCAGCCGGCGTCTGAGGGCCTCACACCGGCCTCTGGTGGCCTCATTTCTGTCTCTGGGTCCCAAGACTAGCCTTTAGGTGCCTTTGAGGGCCCCGCACTGAATTCTGAAGACCCGATGCCGGCCTCTAAGGGTCCGCATCGGCCTCTGAGGGTCCACCTTGGCCTAAGGGGTCCAACGCCGGCCCATGCCGGTCTTTTAGGGCCCCACACTGACCTCTAAGGGCCCATGCTGACCTGTAAGGACACGCATTAGTCTCTGAGGGCCTTGCACGGGATTCTGAAGACCTGATGCCGGCCTCTGAGGCCCATCTTGGTTTTTGAGGGTCTTCTGCTGGCCTCTGGGGTCCAACACCGGCCCATGCCGGCATTTTAGGGTCCCACACTGACCTCTGAGGGCCCATACTGGCCTGTAAGGACCCACATTAGCCTCTGATGGCCCAAGTCGGCATCTTAAGGTCTCATCCTGCCCTTTGCAGGCCCTGTACTGGTCTCTGAGGGCCTTAACCCTCGCAGGCTGGGGGGGGGGGGGTGCTGCCCCTCCATAGGTTTTTTTTTCGATAGCTCCGAACACGCCGGCGATAGAGAGCTGAAGCTTGGCATACCTGACCTTTGAATCAAACGGGATCTTTCGACACCAACCGCATTTTCGGGTCAGATCAGGTCACTGACCCATGTGGTCATAAGTGAACCTCTGCACGGTCTTCAGATGTCGCAACTTCGCAACGCCCTCACTGCCAGAGGAGATTTCACAGGGAAATGAACCTTGGAGGACCTAGTATCCAATAGGAGTCTCTCAACTTGTATAATGTATATCTCGGATTTTTCCTAAAGTTCATATGAGGTCAGGTCATTTTCGTGACCTCACCATTAGGTATAAGTCAATGGGGATAAACTGAAAACTTTTTCTGGCGCCGGGAACGATCGATCTCCAACTATCTCAAGCACACCGAATCGTGATTTCATGCACTCCTTGCAAGGTTCGATGCGTCACTTTTGCAATGTTGACCTTGCGCGACGTCATTTATGAAGTTATAAGGGTCTTATTAGTTTTTCGTCAATAACTAGGTACCGATCAAATTGAGCTAGCGAGTCGGGAAAGCCACCTATGGACTCAAGAAGACCTGCCGAATCGAATGATATGCGACATGACCTCCTTCGACCAATTTCGTGACCTGGGGACGCCGACCTGACCGTGACCCGAGGTCAACACCCTAAGTTTACCTCACCCAAACAAAAAGCATATCATTCGACGCGCCTGAGAGAGGCGAACACGATGCTGGCAAAATCGCGGCTCTGCGGCCATTTTTTGCGAAGTTATTCACCAAAAACGGAACCGTGCCTTGAGGCACTTGACCTGACCTCAGAGGTCACCGGTTTTTGTTTGTTTTGTTGGGTTAGGCCCTTTCGGTCCAATGAGACCATTTCAGAGCCGGAAGGATGATAGGATATAGGGGGAGACATTGGTCTGGGCACTGGGCAGGCACCCTAGTGAGTCGCCGGGGCTGAGCCCGTCCAGAGGACAGGCCACCCAGCCCCAAGGCACTCACTGCACTCGGCTACGGGGTGCGCTCCCTCGGGAGCAGCGGTGCCGCTCCAAGGGAGCAGCCCGCATGAGATAAAGTTGCCTGTCCAGCCCGGAGGGGGGTGGCGGTGTGGAGGAGAAGGATTTCAGTATCCTGAGGATAGAAGCACGGAACGGTGTCAGAGGTCACCGGTTGACCTAGGACCATAAAATCGGGTATCGATCTCTGCGTCTCGTAACGGCGCACACGCTCGTTTTACCGCGACGCGCTAGCTCCACCTGGGGCGAAACAGCGAGGGGGGTCGTACCCGCCCCCCGCCCCCTCGGCCAGCGCGTATGTAGAAAACCTATAGGACCGGGCCGTGGAGGGTTAAACTGGCCTCTGAAGGCCCAGACCGTCTAAAAGTCCCACACCGGCCTCTGAAAAGTGATAGGCAATCAGCCCAGTTGCAGTGGTCGCTGATATAAAACCTCTTAAAAACGTTATAGGCCTGGCTGAGCCTAGCTGGGCCGTTCATGCTGATTTTTATAGGTATATTGAAAAGACTCGCTTTGCACGTTTCACGCTTGCTCGTAATGAAAAAGTTACTGGATGCCTCTGGAATTTGCATGGGTGCCAACGGCTGCGGAGGACAGGGGAACGCGTCCATCAGTTTGAGTTTATGGACGGGAGACTCCCTGAAATTTCAACCAATTTTTTTTTCTTTTTTTTGTCTCGATTTTTTTTTACCTCTGAGCATGTTTGCGAAAACAAAGTGGCCGAAATCCGAGGAGAAATCGGATTTTGGGGGTAGGTTAGGTTTTGGACCTCTGGGACCCTGGCCCCCCCACTTTTGAAAACGTTCCTACGCCTATGAATGCGGATACAGAGCGCGCCACGACTGGGCGAATTTCGAGACTGGCCAAAAGCAATCACAGCCCGCTCCCAATATCCTGCTTGCTGCCCCTCCACCGCACAGTACACAATGACACATGTATCTGCACCAGACATGTGCATGGATCCGAGAGCTGGATCTATGATCTCAGTGGATCTCTCGACAAAATAGAGGGGTTGGATCTATGATCCGAGTGGATCTCTCGACAAAATTCAGGGGTTGGATCTATGATCCGAACGGATCTCTCGACAAAATTTAGGGGTCGGATCTATGATCTCTGTGGATCCAGCGGGCAAAAATTTGTGGAGTACCTATGATCTGTATGGATCTCACAACATGTAGCCAATGAAACCCTTATCCTACATAATTGTACACCTTACAGTGCAATACAATTGAGAACCATGATTGCGATTGATGAGATCGAAGAGTCGTGACTTCGTTGGACTTAAGATGAGAATGAACCTGATCAAAAGGCACAGAGTTGTATTGATCATTTAGTAACATTTTCAAACGTTTCTTCTCTTAACAGAGACATCATCAGTGATTCAGTGATTCGTTACATTTCGATACATGGTAACAAGCAATCAGCGCGGTGAGCGAGTCGGCACAGTATCGCAAGTCTAATTCAAAAATTCACAAACACACTAAACAAATCATACGCATCATATCATAATGACCCCCTAGGTGACAATATTAAGTTTAACAGCGGAAATCTTATCATTGAGAGTCGGTTTTGTTTTGTGAATATATAAAGATTCCAAAATTCTCAACTGAAAACTAGACCTATCCATGTCAATAATTTGAAAGTCATCTAATGAGAAAGGAGTGTCACAAGCTAGGGAGTGGTCCCTTACTGAGGATGCGACGGGACAAGTTAAATGGGTTCCAGTTCTGTCGGACTTTCCTTGATGCTGGCATACTCTAGTGCATAATCTTACACAGGTGGATCCTATGTAGGTCCCCTCACACGAGGGGCAACTGAATTTATAAAAGACACTAGAGCGGCAGACTGATGTCATCACTGTCAACCGTGGAAGCCGTATGGCTACCCATCTACGCTGGAGTACGAAAAACATCATCTCGAGCCTATGCTTAGTTTGTTGCGTAGCACCAGCCTGGGGTTCATGTAGGGATAGTACTTTTTCAGAAGTGATTCTATTGCTTCTTTTAGTTTGAGCGACTGTTTCCCGAAATAGGGAAGTACAAAATATTTTTCAAGTTTTTCTACGTGGTACGTCGAGACCTTGGGCGTAAACCGTTTGTTCAAAAACCTGGAAATCGCTGAGTCAATAAGAGCCTTTGGGTAGCCATTTTCTGTAAAGAACTTACGGAGGAAGCTGATCTCCATATCAAAAAGTTTGAAAGACGAGCTAATGTTATAGGCGCGATAGATGGCAGTGTTTAGGATGGCTTTCTTAATAGAGAGAGGGATGTAGCTAAAAAAGCTAAGACCGAGGCCAGTGTATGATGGCTTGCGATAAACGGATGTTTCTAGCGAGTTTCCAGATCGTCTTATCCGGACATCTAAAAAAGGAAGTGAGCCGTCTAATTCGACCTCCTTGTTAAACTTCATTTTTGGATGCTGACCATTCAAAAAAATCGAGGAACTTATCCACATGTGAAATGTCATTGAAAATCAAAAAGCAATCATCCACATACCTCTTGTAGTATGATGGACGAAATTCTGACGGGCACGTACTTAACCATTTTTTCTCATGGAAACACAGGAAGATGTTAGCAAACGTTGGACGTAAGGGTAGACCCATACCCACACCATCAGTTTGTCTGTACAGTTTACTGTTGAACAGAAAGTAAGAGTTTGACACAGCTAAGTCAAGCATAGCACGGAAAAGCTTTTTAGGGATGCCACCTATGCTATCGCAACCACTCATCAAGGAATTGACAGCTATTTCTATGGTCTCCTGGACGGGTATGTTTGTAAATAGACTTTCAACATCAAAACTTGCCATAATCATGCTACTGGACAGCTTCATATCATTTATGTTTCGAGCGAATTCATGACTGTTCTTTACAGTGTACTCGTTTTCAGTGATAGGTGCCAAAAGTGGGACGAGAAACTTCGCCAGAGAGTATGTGGCGGTTCCACACGCTCTAAATATGGGACGAAAAGGCAGGTTTGGCTTATGGACTTTGGGAAGACCATAAAGAACACCAGGCGCTGATCCAGATACATGTAGTCTACTGTACGTTTCTTCTGAAATGATTGCATCTTTTTTAAGTTTGTTTAACAGTCTGTTTACTTTATCTTCCACTTTGAGCAAAAGCTTGTGAAGAGGTTCAGTTACAATAGAGAACTTAGAACGGTCTGCCAGAATTGTCTCGACTTTATCAACATATTGGTCTCGATCTACGATAACTACGCCCTTACCTTTATCAGGACGAGTTACAACAATTGATTGGTCAGAGGCAAACTTCTTCAATAACACTACATCTGACTTGGAGAAAATTGGAGAAAACACTTTGGAAGGTCTAAAACCATTGTAAAATCGAAAGGCTACCGATCGTAAGTTCTGTTTGACTTCTTGAAAGGTGAATCTTGCGGCGAGCGGGAGGTGAGCGATCGACTGAGCCAGAGTTTCAAAATGTAGAAAACATTTGTAGAAGCTCAGCCTCCAAACAGGCAGTCTGAAGTCCAGCCCAAACGCCAGCAGTGTCTTGATGCGCGAGGGAATGGATTTTGAAGAGAAGTTGAAGATAACCTTGTTTGGATCACAAGGCTGAAGCGAGTTCTCAATTCCGAGCCGAGCGAGCTTTCTTGCGTGGATTGATTCATGTTTTCTTTTGAAGGTGGCCAGAACATCTTTACTGTATGCCTGGCCTATTCAAATACATTAGCCAGAGGGGTGTGGTAATAACTGGTGTAAGCAAGTTGACCACGGTCAAAAACGAATTACCAAGTCAACATTTTGGGATGGCCTCGTTCAAAAAACGGCTAAGAGCTTCGGTCTAGACAATTATTTTATCGTTGGCATACAGTAAAATACATACCAAACTCGGCCGGTGATAAATTTTCAAGACCTCAGTCCTTACTGATTTTTGAACTCGGCCTTCGGCCTCGTTCAAAAATTCAGTAAGGACCTCGGTCTTGAAAATTTATTTACACCGGCCTCGTTCAGTATTATATATTACTGACGTTGATAAGCCAGTAAAACTTGAAAAAAGATAGAACTTGAGAAATGCTTTTCCGAGTTTCTGTACATTTCTTCTCAATATCGGCATGTCGTCGTTTCTTAAACTTGATTTCTTCGTCTAACAGTTTTTGCTGCCAGGACTTGTAGAGTTGTGTTGAATGAAGCGACTTTTTGTAAAGTTTAAATCGAAGGAATTTGGGGAAAATGTCATAGGTCTTGCAGGTAAGTAGAAACTTCAGGTCAAGGTTACATTTTTCTCTTTTCTTGATCAGGGCTAAGTAGCCCAAGACGTTTCTCAAAGTTGATCTACCATGATTGCGATTGATGAGATCGAAGAGTCGTGACTTCGTTGGACTTAAGATGAGAATGAACCTGATCAAAAGGCACAGAGTTGTATTGATCATTTAGCAACATTTTCAAACGTTTCTTCTCTTAACAGAGACATCATCAGTGATTCAGTGATTCGTTACATTTCGATACATGGTAACAAGCAATCAGCGCGGTGAGCGAGTCGGCACAGTATCGCAAGTCTAATTCAAAAATTCACAAACACACTAAACAAATCATACGCATCATATCATAATGACCCCCTAGGTGACAATATTAAGTTTAACAGCGGAAATCTTATCATTGAGAGTCGGTTTTGTTTGTGAATATATAAAGATTCCAAAATTCTCAACTGAAAACTAGACCTTTCCATGTCAATAATTTGAAAGTCATCTAATGAGAAAGGAACTGATGGTGTGGGTATGGGTCTACCCTTAGGTCCAACGTTTGCTAACATCTTCCTGTGTTTCCATGAGAAAAAATGGTTAAGTACGTGCCCGTCAGAATTTCGTCCATCATACTGCAAGAGGTATCGTTATGCGCCAAACTCCATATAGAAGCGGACATTGGGGTTCAGATTGTTATTATGAGTAAAATATAAGTCATTTTCTTCATTAAACGGTTGTTTCTCTATGCGGCGATCATTTATGAAGCACGCCACACTTAGTTACCAACGAGCGATATCATAATAGCTCCATTTTTGGCAGTATACTGGCTGCGGCCGAGTGCGACGGTGGCGCCGACTATCGGCTACTCGTGCAACTAGGCCTCGCGGTGGCTCCGGCGGCCAAACTTCAGATGAAAACGTCCCTGTGTGGAGACTTAACGATAAACTGAAAAATGCGATATAATGCAATTAAATTCAGTAATATGCGTTTACCCTGACGTATTTTTTACCAATATTCGGGGAGAATTGGCACCGGGATTTGGCAGGAGAAGATAAAATGTTTATGAACATTCCAAATTGTATTATACCTACATTGCATTGTCAAAATATGTCTCAATATATGCGAGACGTCATGCTGTTTGCCGTACTATAGCGAAATTGTTTCATGAAAGACTCAATACAAATATAACGGGAGTGATGTATCTTAATTTCATTTGGTGGTGCAAATATTTTTTCTTCCATGTCCCGATCCCGGGTCGAATTTTCTCTCCTATGGATAAAAAGTGCAGAGATGTGTTGCTCAGTTAGTGAGCTACAGCGTAGTATAGCGACATTTTTATGTAAGCTGCCTATTTTTTCATACTGTGCTAGTTTCCACGAAAATCCGTGCATACACTGACCAATATTTTTTTCTTCCATGGCCAGATCCCAGGTCCAATTTTTATCCGCTATGGATAAAAAATGCATAAATATGTTGCTCAGATGGTAATCTACAGCGTAGTATAGCGACATTTTTATGTAACTACCCTATTTTTTCATACTGTGCTCATTTCCACGAAAATCCGTGCTTACGCTGACCAACATTTTTCTCTTCCATGGCCAGATCCCAGGTCCAATTTTTATCCGTCATGGATAACAAATACATAGATATGTTGCTCAGATAGCGAACTACAACGTAGTATAGCGACATTTTTATGTAACTTCCCTATTTTCTCACACTGTGCTCATTTCCACGAAAATCCGTGCTTACACTGACCAACATTTTTTTCTTCCATGGCCAGATCCCGGGTCCAATTTTTATCCGCCATGGATACAAATACATAAATATGTCGCTCAGATGGTGAACTATACCGTAGTATAGCGACATTTCATGTAACTTTCCTATTTTTTCACACTGCGCTATCACCCATCAAAATCCGTGCTCTCACCGACCTTAGTTCTCTGGCGTTGCCGATAGGCGGCGCTGGCGTCGCGTCCCGCGCTATGGCCGCGCCTGGCGCATAACGTGTGGATGATTGCTTTTTGATTTTCAATGACATTTCACATGTGGATAAGTTCCTCGATTTTTTGAATGGTCAGCATCCAAAAATGAAGTTTACCAAGGAGGTCGAATCAGGCGGCTCACTTCCTTTTTTAGATGTCCGGATAAGACGATCTGGAAACTCGCTAGAAACATCCGTTTATCGCAAGCCATCATACACTGGCCTCGGTCTTAGCTTTTTTAGCTACATCCCTCTCTCTATTAAGAAAGCCATCCTAAACACTGCCATCTATCGCGCCTATAACATTAGCTCGTCTTTCAAACTTTTTGATATGGAGATCAGCTTCCTCCGTAAGTTCTTTACAGAAAATGGCTACCCAAAGGCTCTTATTGACTCAGCGATTTCCAGGTTTTTGAACAAACGGTTTACGCCCAAGGTCTCGACGTACCACGTAGAAAAACTTGAAAAATATTTTGTACTTCCCTATTTCGGGAAACAGTCGCTCAAACTAAAAGAAGCAATAGAATCATTTCTGAAAAAGTACTATCCCTACATGAACCCCAGGCTGGTGCTACGCAACAAACTAAGCATAGGCTCCCTGTTTCGGTTCAAAGACGTTGTCCCTAAGGCTTGCCGCTCTAGTGTCATTTATAAATTCAGTTGCCCCTCGTGTGAGGGGACCTACATAGGATCCACCTGTGTAAGATTATGCACTAGAGTATGCCAGCATCAAGGAAAGTCCGACAGAACTGGAACCCATTTAACTTGTCCCGTCGCATCCTCAGTAAGGGACCACTCCCTAGCTTGTGACACTCCTTTCTCATTAGATGACTTTCAAATTATTGACATGGATAGGTCTAGTTTTCAGTTGAGAATTTTGGAACCTTTATATATTCACAAAACAAAACCGACTCTCAATGATAAGATTTCCGCTGTTAAACTTAATATTGTCACCTAGGGGGTCATTATGATATGATGCGTATGATTTGTTTAGTGTGTTTGTGAATTTTTGAATTAGACTTGCGATACTGTGCCGACTCGCTCACCGCGCTGATTGCTTGTTACCATGTATCGAAATGTAACGAATCACTGAATCACTGATGATGTCTCTGTTAAGAGAAGAACGTTTGAAAATGTTACTAAATGATCAATACAACTCTGTGCCTTTTGATCAGGTTCATTCTCATCTTAAGTCCAACGAAGTCACGACTCTTCGATCTCATCAATCGCAATCATGGTAGATCAACTTTGAGAAACGTCTTGGGCTACTTAGCCCTGATCAAGAAAAGAGAAAAATGTAACCTTGACCTGAAGTTTCTACTTACCTGCAAGACCTATGACATTTTCCCCAAATTCCTTCGATTTAAACTTTACAAAAAGTCGCTTCATTCAACACAACTCTACAAGTCCTGGCAGCAAAAAACTGTTAGACGAAGAAATCAAGTTTAAGAAACGACGACATGCCGATATTGAGAAGAAATGTACAGAAACTCGGAAAAGCATTTATCAAGTTCTATCTTTTTTCAAGTTTTACTGGCTTATCAACGCCAGTAAAGATGTTCTGGCCACCTTCAAAAGAAAACATGAATCAATCCACGCAAGAAAGCTCGCTCGGCTCGGAATAGAGAACTCGCTTCAGCCTTGTGATCCAAACAAGGTTATAATGGAAATCAGATGGATTAGTAACCTTTTGCTCATAACTAATGTAAGCCAAAAACAAATCAAACAGGCAGTCTGATAATGGATTTGTTTTTGGCTTACATTAGTTATGAGCAAAAGGTTACTAATCCATCTGATTTCCATTATAATCATAATCATGCTCAAAAAAAACGTTTCACACCATTCAAACAAGGTTATCTTCAACTTCTCTTCAAAATCCATTCCCTCGCGCATCAAGACACTGCTGGCGTTTGGGCTGGACTTCAGACTGCCTGTTTGGAGGCTGAGCTTCTACAAATGTTTTCTACATTTTGAAACTCTGGCTCAGTCGATCGCTCACCTCCCGCTCGCCGCAAGATTCACCTTTCAAGAAGTCAAACAGAGCTTACGATCAGTAGCCTTTCGATTTTACAATGGTTTTAGAACTTCCAAAGTGTTTTCTCCAATTTTCTCCAAGTCAGATGTAGTGTTATTGAAGAAGTTTGCCTCTGACCAATCAATTGTTGTAACTCGTCCTGATAAAGGTAAGGGCGTAGTTATCGTAGATCGAGACCAATATGTTGATAAAGTCGAGACAATTCTGGCAGACCGTTCTAAGTTCTCTATTGTAACTGAACCTCTTCACAAGCTTTTGCTCAAAGTAGAAGATAAAGTAAACAGACTGTTAAACAAACTTAAAAAAGATGCAATCATTTCAGAAGAAACGTACAGTAGACTACATGTATCTGGATCAGCGCCTGGTGTTCTTTATGGTCTTCCCAAAGTCCATAAGCCAAACCTGCCTTTTCGTCCCATATTTAGAGCGTGTGGAACCGCCACATACTCTCTGGCGAAGTTTCTCGTCCCACTTTTGGCACCTATCACTGAAAACGAGTACACTGTAAAGAACAGTCATGAATTCGCTCGAAACATAAATGATATGAAGCTGTCCAGTAGCATGATCATGGTAAGTTTTGATGTTGAAAGTCTATTTACAAACATACCCGTCCAGGAGACCATAGATATAGCTGTCAATTCCTTGATGAGTGGTTGCGATAGCATAGGTGGCATCCCTAAAAAGCTTTTCCGTGCTATGCTTGACTTAGCTGTGTCAAACTCTTACTTTCTGTTCAACAGTAAACTGTACAGACAAACTGATGGTGTGGGTATGGGTCTACCCTTAGGTCCAACGTTTGCTAACATCTTCCTGTGTTTCCATGAGAAAAAATGGTTAAGTACGTGCCCGTCAGAATTTCGTCCATCATACTACAAGAGGTATGTGGATGATTGCTTTTTGATTTTCAATGACATTTCACATGTGGATAAGTTCCTCGATTTTTTGAATGGTCAGCATCCAAAAATGAAGTTTACCAAGGAGGTCGAATCAGACGGCTCACTTCCTTTTTTAGATGTCCGGATAAGACGATCTGGAAACTCGCTAGAAACATCCGTTTATCGCAAGCCATCATACACTGGCCTCGGTCTTAGCTTTTTTAGCTACATCCCTCTCTCTATTAAGAAAGCCATCCTAAACACTGCCATCTATCGCGCCTACAACATTAGCTCGTCTTTCAAACTTTTTGATATGGAGATCAGCTTCCTCCGTAAGTTCTTTACAGAAAATGGCTACCCAAAGGCTTTTATTGACTCAGCGATTTCCAGGTTTTTGAACAAACGGTTTACGCCCAAGGTCTCGACGTACCACGTAGAAAAACTTGAAAAATATTTTGTACTTCCCTATTTCGGGAAACAGTCGCTCAAACTAAAAGAAGCAATAGAATCACTTCTGAAAAAGTACTATCCCTACATGAACCCCAGGCTGGTGCTACGCAACAAACTAAGCATAGGCTCGAGATGATGTTTTTCGTACTCCAGCGTAGATGGGTAGCCATACGGCTTCCACGGTTGACAGTGATGACATCAGTCTGCCGCTCTAGTGTCTTTTATAAACTCAGTTGCCCCTCGTGTGAGGGGACCTACATAGGATCAACCTGTGTAAGATTATGCACTAGAGTATGCCAGCATCAAGGAAAGTCCGACAGAACTGGAACCCATTTAACTTGTCCCGTCGCATCCTCAGTAAGGGACCACTCCCTAGCTTGTGACACTCCTTTCTCATTAGATGACTTTCAAATTATTGACATGGATAGGTCTAGTTTTCAGTTGAGAATTTTGGAATCTTTATATATTCACAAAACAAAACCGACTCTCAATGATAAGATTTCCGCTGTTAAACTTAATATTGTCACCTAGGGGGTCATTATGATATGATGCGTATGATTTGTTTAGTGTGTTTGTGAATTTTTGAATTAGACTTGCGATACTGTGCCGACTCGCTCACCGCGCTGATTGCTTGTTACTAGAGATGTCAATCGGATACCAACTTTTTGGTATACCGATACCAAACCGATACCAACTTGGTATTTGGTATTTCAATCGTAATGTGTTTGGTATTTTGTTGGTATCATAAACCCTCACTAATGTATAAGAGGCTAAGAAATCGGTAAAAAGTTGGTATTTCCCTCAGTTTCCCAAGTTGGTTTGGTTTCGGTATTTTCCCATGGTTTTGGTTGGTATTTGGTTTGGTATCGGTATTCTGATTTTCCGTAATTGACATCACTACTTGTTACCATGTATCGAAATGTAACGAATCACTGAATCACTGATGATGTCTCTGTTAAGAGAAGAAACGTTTGAAAATGTTACTAAATGATCAATACAACTCTGTACAATTGAGAATTGTCACTTGGGGACATGGTTAAGACCAGTTGTACTCATTAGATATCATCATTAAATTTGAATTTAAATCAACAACATTTGTACTACATTTAAAATAAACCAAGAACATGCACATTGCTACATTTTGTGACCAATTGTAACTTTTTCATGACAGCACTGATGACAATCTTATCAACAAGCTACAGCCACTTTAATTCAATGAACAAACAGTACAGACAGATGCAGTGGCAGCAGGGCACTGCAGATTTTCATTTTGGTCCCATTCTTTCCATGCAGTGCCAGTAGGGCTAATGTTAAAATGCCAAAATCTATGGGGGGGGGGCACTGTACACTGGTGCCACCTATGGACCCTGTTCCGCCGCCTATGGACAGATGTTAGGAAATCAAACCTGGAAGCCAAATAGGTCAGTTTTGTTAAAAATAATCCAGCAATCCACTTCTGCCAGGTATGAAATCCCAATCCAGAATGTTCGTATGAGCTATTAGTACGTGCAACACAATTTCCAGTTAGTAAGAATTGCAACCAACCTCTTATACTTTCCTAACAAAATTACAAGTTCAAAAATGGCATCAACTTCTTCAGATTACCTACTTTTGGCATAGTGCCAAGGCCGTCGTGCCACGTGTGGTGCCATGCTGTGCTTTCGTTATGAGAGAGCCTCCCAAAAAAAGACAAACGAAATTCACAGCTCACGTTTTGGTAATGTTGTTTTATTACGTCATTATCGTTTGACCAATGAACAATCTTAATTTGACTAAAACTGTAATGATTCCAAAAGATTCCCCGTAATAGGCCCTTCGAACTAATGACGTAAGATATTGTGATTCTTTTGAAAAGTGAATAAAATAAAGATGCAAGGCGCACACCCGGCTCAGGGCCATGTAGTGTTTCAGCTTACGTTTACGTCTTCAAATTCAACGCTACAAAGATGATATTCACAAACAATCGTATCGTAAAATTATGTGCGGCAGAAAAAATGAACATTCTTTTGAAAAAAAAACTCCAGACTTATGAATTTCCAGTTTAATTTTTATTTATTTTCATTACACTCGAATGTGGAACGCTTAGCTCATTTGTTATTTGAAATGACGTCACGAGTTCTATTTAGGTACTGAATAATCATTTTACGGTAAATATCCAAGGCCATTACAATAGATATTTCGCTTCCCATCGTTTCCGCAGGCTGTTGACTATTTTTATACTTTTGTTTATATCTCAGTTTATTTTATCCAATATTTCTTTCAATAGATTGAAATACCTTTACCTAACCAAGCCACATGTGTCAGTATCATCTTTTATTGTTTATCAATCAATTGTGTTAGCTGGAAACTGGAAAGCCTCATGGGTTGTCTAATGCAAGATTGTCTTATCAATATCATTATGTAGATTCCAACATGAATTGTGATGTGGTAGGTACCTAGTAATGTATTGTTCTTTAGTCATTTCTTTGACTTACCTCTATGTTAATTGTTAATGCAAACTTTTCTGTTGGTATGTGAACAATCTTCATGTCACTCAATTCTCTCAAGTTGTGACCGTCATGAGCCTCCTTTATTTTGTATTCTGTATAATGTAAATTGTAACTGGATGCCTTTACTAAATACTAATATGGCCTTTGTATAAGATTGTTTGTTTCTAACCATACTTTGGCATTCATAACTTCTTATGAAAGAAAGTTGTTAACATTTTGAGCACCTATGAGCTATGATCCCAAATCCCAATGGATCTCACGACAAATTTGGGGAGCCAGATCTATGATTCGAGTGGATCTAGCGACAAAATTGAAGGGTCAGATCTATGATCCCAGTAGATCTCTCGACAAAATTGAGGGGTTGGATCTATGATCTGAATGGGTCTCGGATCGGGATCCATGGGATCGGATCTCAGATCCATTTTTCCGGATCCAAGCACATGTCTGATCTGCACATTATCTCACTTGCATTATATACTATTTCGCTTGCAATGTGCCCTTTCTGATCGAAGCATGTGCCATTGCCACCTTTGGGACGCAGTAAAAAAAATACTTAAAGTATCCCCTGCGGGCAATGCACCCACAGGTCACATCAACTACGCATGTTTACCTAGTACTGATCTGACGTGGCCTGAAGTAGTGATGTCAATCGGATACCAACTTTTTGGTATACCGATACCAAACCGATACCAAGCTGGTATTTGGTTTTTCAATCCGATTGTTTTTGGTATTTTGTTGGTATTATGAACCCTTGCTAATGTATACAAGGTTGAAAAATCGGTAAAAAGTTGGTATTTTTCCTCATCTTCTCAAGTTGGTTCGGTTTCGGTATTTCCTGATGGTTTTGGTTGGTATTTGGTTTGGTATCGGTATTACGATTTTCTGTAATTGACATCACTAGCCTGAAGTGCTGAGCACTTAATACTTATAGCAAAAAATAAAAATAAAATGCTCGACTTTTCAAGTGCTTCAAATGTGTCAATCAAAAATGCAGACAAAATCCTGCGTCACCCACTTTCATACCAATGTTTTCTGATGTGTGGCACCTGCACATCCTTTCTTGCATTTTGATTTTGTCAACTTACTGGAGGTCCATCATCATGAGCTGTATATTATGAGACGGACACAACACATTGCCCTTTCTGATCGAAGCATGTGCCATTTGCCACCTTTGGGACGCAGTAAAAAATACTTAAAGTATCCCCTGCGGGCAATGCACCCACAGGTCACATCAACTACGCATGTTTACCTAGTACTGATCTGACGTGGCCTGAAGTAGTGATGTCAATCGGATACCAACTTTTTGGTATACCGATACCAAACCGATACCAAGCTGGTATTTGGTATTTCAATCCGATTGTTTTTGGTATTTTGTTGGTATTATGAACCCTTGCTAATGTATACAAGGTTGAAAAATCGGTAAAAAGTTGGTATTTTTCCTCATCTTCTCAAGTTGGTTCGGTTTCGGTATTTCCTGATGGTTTTGGTTGGTATTTGGTTTGGTATCGGTATTACGATTTTCTGTAATTGACATCACTAGCCTGAAGTGCTGAGCACTTAATACTTACAGCAAAAAATAAAAATAAAATGCTCGACTATTCAAGTGCTTCAAATGTGTCAATCAAAAATGCAGACACAATCCTGCGTCACCCACTTTCATACCAATGTTTTCTGATGTGTGGCACCTGCACATCCTTTCTTGCATTTTGATTTTGTCAACTTACTGGAGGTCCATCATCATGAGCTGTATATTATGAGACGGACACAACACATTCGGGTGGACGCGTTTCGTCGAGAGACTTCTTCAACGCCCCTTCAGAAATGTAAGCAATACAAGCACACACAAGAATAAAACTCTATTCAAGTCTTATTCTTGTGTGTGCTTGTATTGCTTCCATTTCTTAACCCTCGCCCATGTAGGGGGGGGGGGTTGGTGCAACCCCCCCCCCCCCTGAGCCTTTTCGGAAATAGTGCAAAAACGGCGGCGCTGGCAAAATTTTGGGTACCTTATGGGGCAAACCTTGCGCATCTTTTGATAAAAAAATTTGACCGGGTCATGTCAGGTCACGGAGTTATGACGTCACAAAGGGAACAGCCTCCGGCCGGATTTTCACAAACTGAGTGCCAACGCCCGAGGTTTCCTGCCGGTGGTACGGACATCGGTTGGGAGCATCGGCCTGTCGGGAGCAAAATTCAAAAAAAAAAAAAAAAAACATCGGTTGATGGATCGTGATGAAACTTCCCATGCATGTTGGGGCAAGTATTGGCTATCATATGGTATAAGAAACTTGACCGGGTCAGGTCAGGTCACGGAGCTATGACGTCACAAGAGGAACAGCGTCCGGTACTATTTTTGAAAAGCGCCCGAACCACTATTTTGCTAATTCTTGTCACCTCAATGGGAATATGCAGCAATATTAGCTTCTATAGGGAGCAAATGGACCTCCCAAATCCAAAAATACAATCAGATTTCAAAAATTTAAATTTTGATTTTTCGAATTTCTGCCGCCGACTGTGACCTTGCCGACTTCCGGCGCTCCCAACGCGCCATTTTTAGAGCTAGGGAAACGAAATACATACCAAACGATAGAGAATTGATCAAGGAACACGATAGTGAAGGTTTCAAGTCGATATCTCCCACCGTTTTGCCGCAATCGCCGCGGAAATTGGAAAAAATCTATTTTTTCCGAAAAATTGACCTTTGACCGGTCAAAAGTAGGTCAAATGTTGACCTAGGACCAAAAAATATACCACCAATCGCGAGATCTCGGCGAGAGCAATCCGTTGGTCTTTTCCGCTAAGCTCTACGACGCTCCGTTTTCAAACGCCAAGGGGGGGGGGGGTCGCACCAACCCCCCCCCCCCCCCCTGCATGGGCGAAGGTGGCAGATCGCCGTTTACGGGCGAGGGTTAAGGAGCGTTGAAGGAAGTCTCTCGACGAAACGCGTCCACCCGAATGTGTTGTGTCCTTCTCATAATATATACTTGTCTCTTACTATTCAACTCATCGTGAGCTATGACTATTATGAGCTATCTTCATGGGCGTAACTTCGTATGTGGTTGGTATGGAGAGCTCCACACCAACTTGAAAGTTGGTGTGGATTTTCCACACCAACTTTAAGTGGTGACACTTCTCATGCACTTTTGAGTAAAAAAAAAAACACCAAAATATGATTCAAGGCCAGAAGAAATCAGTATGGGTTCTTCATAGTCCACAAAGGCGGATAATTGGGGGAGGGGAGGAGGGTATGGGAATGCTCGAGCATCCCCTGAGCCAAAAAAATGCACCCCTCACTGGCAGAAGCACCCCAAAATCTGCAAGTCTACACAAAAATATTTCACATTCTAAGTTTAAGAAAAATATCCAAAAAGCATGTCATTTTTAATCAGCAGTAAGCGATAACTGTATGGAGCATTTAATGTAAACATGCACCCACTAGATATCACAGTTACACAATATGCATGATGAAAATGATCATCATTAATCAAGCCTTTATCATTGTCCAACTGCCCTGGTTTTTATTTGTAAAAGAATTATGCCTCAAGATGCTGGTTTTTTACCCACTCTGGTGTCATCCCCAGCCTGAAAAACAGCAGTATTCGACGTCCGACGAGATGTGGGGAATAAGTTAGCAATTTTTTAACAAACCTCACATTTAGCAGGGCACAATTACCTTCTCTATGTGCTTTGGCTCTACGATTTTTTTTAAAATAAGAATGATGTATTGTTGGTTTGACGGCTGTAGCACATGTGCATAAGTGGCCTGCGCCATAATCGTTGCAATAGCGCAATGATACCTAATTTGTTGTTCCCGCCATAGAAAAGTTTTCCTTCATCAGGAAAAGACAATTTTCATGCATTTGGTTTTTTTTTTGTAAAAGCTGGCAGTGGCTTCATTTTGACTTTATTTACTTGCCTTTTTGTGATATATTACATTTAAAAAGTGAATAATTTTTATTTAGAAGATATTGTTGTCTAAACATTGCAGAAACGTGCATGCTCGTCAATCTAGCAGTGGATTGATATTCGCGAATCTGCTGCTGGTAGACACAAGACCAGCATTCACGGTTTCCGAATGTGCCGTTTTGGTATGAAATAAAAGTTAGCCTATTTTGTTTAGAAATTTTGTCCGAATGGTTGAATGGGTGGCTTTGGGCCCGGACTGATTTAGCCCAGACTAATTTTAGCCCTTCCCACTCCAAATTCGGTCCAAATTTTGATATAATATGCAAGGAAAACTTTTCACATCCACTCTCTGAGACAATGCATGGTCTTCAGGACGGTGCAAGCATGGTCTCCATCCTGCTGAAACCACTGCTGTTTGATGGTGTCGGCACAGCTGCGCTGCGGCGAGCGGAAGAACCATTAGAAAATACCATTAGAAAAAAAAAAACTGGAGGATCCTCGACCACCTCTCTTGGTTTATCGTCACAGAATTTCCGCTATCGTCCTCAGGACCTCAAAGGACAGGGAGCCAAGATATGCATGCCCTGTACGCATATTACACTTTTTCTGGCGTTTTGCCGGTTGTGACGAAACTATGAATGAGTTCAGAGATAGGGCAAGATGATAGGGTCTTCTTAGGGTCGAAAACTGAGCGGTATTTACGCTTTGTTCCAATGACGGACCCTCTCTTCGAGTCGAAATTCGACCACTTCAGTTTTCTGCTTACCTACTGTTCGGTGTAGTCATCATCAAAAAGAGGAAAGATCCTTCCTCGCTGCATGAATGTTGGGAGACGTCACCCCCTCGGCTCTTAAGTTGGGGACAATCGCCCTCGCTCCCCCCCCCCCCATATTCCCGGGTCTATGAGCTGATTGGCAAGGCGATAAACGAGCTGATTGGCGTTTCCACCCGAGCTTGAGCATGATAGGGTCTGTTCCAGTGGTTGCTCAAACCTCCTCTAAGCTCTTATAGCCAGTGAAGGCTTTCAACACCATTAGCGTCGCCACGGGGGGGAGGGCAAGCGGGGCAGTTTGCTTCCCCCAACCTCCGACCGAGTACCCCTGAGATGGATGCAGATCCCATGAGATTTTGGAGTTGGCAAAAAATGGGGGTAGTTTTCGAGAATGGCTGTAAACTCCACACCAACTTTGAAAACGTTTCTACACCCATGGCTATCTTAGCCTTTTTCTGAAACCAAAAAGACTTGCAATATAGATGTGTTCTTCAATCTTGTCCAAGAGCTCTGATGTTTACTTGCTTTCTGACAGTTAATCACACTTCTTCAGCACACAAGTAAGGTACCGTAAACGGGGGTGACTTTGCCATGTTTTCAACTTTAGACGCTTGTATTATTTAAACTTGTTAACTTATTTGGATGACGCTATGTTCAAAACACGGATGAAGATTACCTCTTTGGGTTTTGCTATTATTGTATTTATAGCTTGCCTAAGAGTCGTGGCAAAGTTAAACTGAAAAAGGGGTGTCTTTGCCACCATGCCAAATAATGTTTTTTAACACTAACAAATATTTTTTAAACATTTTTGTTCAATGTATGGGGAAGGGCCACCATCCCTAATTGTTTAATGGGAAGAAATAAAGCAATTCGAGGTTTTTTTGCTCTTAAATGATGTACAAAAAGGGAGAGATACATTACTTTTTATAATACATTACATTTGTTGAAAATAATTGACATCTGATAGTAAATAGAAATTGAGAAATGGTTCAGAACAGATAGATAAGCAAAAGTATTATTGTATCGGTACTCTAGGACCTTGCCGCTTTCTTCCAGTGGCATTGAGAGGAACAGAAAGTGGACGTTCTTGCGTCAACTCACCGGCACTTTTATTATTAGCGTTTTGATTTATAAAATGGTACATATTTCTTCAGCCAGTCTTATTAGCAAACTCAGTAGTTGTAGATGATCTTGGCTGTGCTGAAAAGTTGGGCCCAGCTTCATCCATTTTTTGATTTTGGTAATTTTTGCCGTTCTATACTCCCACTGCGCATTCCTGTGCTAATTTTCAACATATAAACTTTTAGTTTTTAAAAACCAGTTTGGAGATCAAAATGATGCTACATTAAAAAAAAATATTTTGAATTGCATCGCATAAGTATTTCATTTTTGCATTGATAATATGGTGGCAAAGTCACCCCATGTGGCCTGCAATTCACTTGGAAAAATCGCCACCAAAAATTTCAGCTAAATGAAGTGACAAATGGCAATTTTGTTGGATATGCCAATTTAACAATCTTGTCATGATCAACCATACCAAGTTTCAGCATCGGAGTTGGTCTAAAACATGGCTAGATAATGAAAAGTTTGGACATCTTCAAATTTGACCATTTCAATGGCTCCAATAAAATGAAGCCCAGTTAGGTATTTAGTGGTAACTTATCTCTCAGTGTTGGTTATATTGGAAGGCCCATCAATTATCTTTCATTTGTGCATACAAATTATTACATTCTTTGTAAAATATCACTGGAGATCTCCCTAGAGCATTTTTTCGAGAAGCATGGAAAAGTCACCCCGCAAGGCAAAGTCACCCCCGTTTACGGTAATGGATTGTGCCATGATTATTTCCGATTTCCATATAAAACGTTTAAGAATCAAGTAAATTAAGCCTAAAGCAAGCACAAACAATGCTTGCTAGCAGCTGCGCCAGACATTTAAAAATGCGCAAATTATCCGTATTTTTCGGGCTGCCGGCGTAAAGGGAATTATCCGTTCCTGAACGGATTTTTACGCTAAGTACACCGCGCTGCTCATGTACAGCCCTCAGCAGACTGCGTGGTAGGTATTCTTTTTTCGACAAAACCGACAATAACTCAAAGGCTATGCTATCAGTCGGTCGGAACTCACTACAAATAGATGCGTCTTGCTCCACTCTTTCGACTGGGTCTATCATTAAACGAATTATACGCCTTGTGTGGCAACAAAATGCAAAAGTTTGTTTTGGGGGCAAATATAAACTTTTGGGTTTTGTTGCCAAACTGGATGGAAAATGAATGCTATGATAATGCCAGTCTAAGGTGCGGAGTTTCGCGTCTTGCTGTTACAATTTCCGAGTGACCGATAGCATAGTATTCGCGCTATTCTCGGTTTTGTCGAAAAAAGAATACCTACCACGCAGTTTGCAGAGGGCTGTGCATGGAGCCACCGAAACGCATTTTTCCGTTTCCCGGCTAATCGGATATTTCCGTTTAGGCTGAACGCTCATGTAAACAGGGTAAGTGTGTGTGGTCGCGGTATAGTTCACTGCTGTGGACCGGCGCTCGTCTGCTCCCAGTGTGTGTGTCTGTGTGGTCGCTGGAGGTATGTGTCATTGACGGGATTGCTTTGTCGGCGGCAGGGCGGCAGCGGTGCCGAGGACGGCGCGGCCGACGAGCGCACGACGCCGGCCGACTCGCCGCAGCTCGCCGAGCCGGCCCAGGTATGGCGCGCGGTGGCTGCAACCGTGCCGCTCACTTGGCACGGGCTTCAGACGTGGCTAGGGAGAGGGGCTGGCCATCGGTAGCCGGCGGCTCTACGAACGAACCTAGCTAGCCGTTAGAAGAGATATTTTAGTACCTTTCGCGTAAATGGTACCACAGGGGGCTAGTCGTGTAAGGTACGTCTCTCGCGAGATTAAAGGTAGTGTGCCACCTTTGAAAGATTTCCCATTTTATTTTTCCTAGGATAAGAAGCTTCTGTTTTTACCTAATATCGCAAAAAAAATCAAAAATGGGCCTGGAATAGTGCCTTTTTCGCCTAAAAGTTTATCGGTTTTTCGATATGTATAACAACTAGAGGTGGCAAAACTGGAAAATTTTGGGACCCGGACCCGGACCCGGTCTGACTGGCACATTTCTGGAACCGGTCAGACCCGGTCTAAGTCAGCGTTGGAACCAGATGGACCCGTTCCCGAAATTCATTATGAAAATTGTGTACAGTTGTAGGTATAGCAAGAAGAAAATAGTTTCTATCCAATTGGGCAAACTTGTGTTGCAAAGTAAAAAACGCATGCCATGGTCATTTCACTTCGCTTCACAGTTTGTATTTTAGAACCAGATTCAGATCATATTTAAGAATATAAGAAGCAAGTAAACCAATGAATTTCATGCTAACCTAAGCCACTTTTACTACAGCTGCTAAAAATGATGTGAACTGGGGATCCATGGTGATGGAGCAGTGCTGGTGCCTTCACCAGGGTCAGAACTCAGAACCTGACATCAACATGGAACAGGATAACCATACTGATACATAACTTTTCTAATATTCTTGGTAAAAGATATTCGCTTTTAGAATTAAATTCATTAGTCCTTACAAATATTATCAACTATACTAGGCCCCAAACGAGAAAACATTCAAAATCAAAATAGAAACATCAAAACTTTGTGAGGTCCGCCAGAAATGTCGACACGATAGCAATGCAAGGACAAAACAGGCGTTAAATCACTGCAAAATTTTGTTGGGGTTAAAGTACTACAAAATCGTAATGGCAATAAACTTTTAAGCACTGCAACTGGCAAGGTTCCGATCATGACTTAAGTGCCAATTTATTAACGTAGAAAACAAACTACATTTTGTTGTTAGTACCTAGATATAGAATAAATACCAAGGGTTCTGAGACTTACCTGATTTCTTCCCAAACGTGTTCCAAAATTGTAACCTTTTTGCAGTAGATTAGCGTGCGTAAGGCATAGCATATATGACGCTCAAATGCGCCATTTTCACGTCAACACGGAATCATTGGCCTTGGAGAAGGGCATTGGTAATGACTCAGTTTTTTTTTTGCCAGCTGCTGCCGTATGGTGGCGCTAGTAAAGCGCTATATGTATAATGCACTCTGCTAGCGCCACCATGCGGCGCCAGTTGGCTAAAAATCTGATCAATACTACGGTTTCTGGAGAATGCCTTGGATTCATTTTTAGCTTTATGGATTTATGCAAGGGCATGTTGGTTTTATGAGTTGTCTTCTGGCCGTGATAGAAATCATTTCAAAGCTGTTTGAGTTATGAAATGCTTTTGAATATCAAACATGAACTCCGATTTCTGGTGGGCATAGTGACTTTGGTATGTCAATGTCATTGAAATGGCAGGTAAGAACTAAGAATGCCACTGGTCAGCCTTGCTTCAATTGGATTTGTGTCCATTTATAAATGGATTTCAATCATACCTACTTACCTACATATGTCATTGGTATTTGATTTCTACAGCTCAAAATATTGTTAGGTGTGGTACAGCAAACTGAATGGAAGTGATGCGTACAAACATTTGGTGAAATATTTTCTGGATTGCCAGCACTTAGAACTTGTATATTTTGTTGTAGGTGACAAGATAAGAAATTGAAGCAAGACTGACCAGTATGCTACAGAATAGGTAGCCCAATCTGCAGGAATATTAAAATTCAAAAGTGGAATTGGGACTTATGGACTGGAAACTGCATCAATTATGTTTTACAAAGCATAAAAGATATTAACATTTACCATAAAGCACAGGGGAATGATAGGACCCGGTTGGACCCGGCCAAAAATTTTGGGGGACCCGGTCTGGACCCATCCGGGTCCAGACCGGGTCCATAGACCGGGTCCCCGGGTCCACATTTTGCCACCTCTAATAACAACTGTAGTGGGCTGACCTGCAAACAGGCGTCGGCAACAATCGCGAATGCGGCGCACATGTGACAATAAGCAAAGGTCATTATAGAGTTACGGCGTACGGGAATGAGTTATCAGCTGTCTAATCGTAGACAACACAATGTCGAGCCTTAAACTGTAAGCCTGTATTGGTATTGTTTACTTATTTGGCTGTCGATCATTATTTATGGTTTGAAATATGATTTTATGTAAAATAATTGATATGAAAAAGCCGTCTCTTAAGTTATGACCTCATTTCACCACACGCAAGTGGCAGAAATGACAATGATCAGCTGACGCATTTTTCTTGGCCGAAGTCAGAGCGCGCGGCCCGACGCACCACCACCGCACCACAAAGTATGAGCAGAAGCCGCGCCCAAAGCCAGGGCCCCGGTAACGTGAGGTAGCCGAGTCGGGGCAGCGTGCGCTGACCCAAGCCGGGGCCGCAGCTTTGGGCGCGGTCTACCGCATCCCCGCGGGCAGCCCCGGGCTATCACATGACACCGGGAGGACGCGCGGCCCCGGCTTGGGTCAGCGCACGCTGCCCCGACTCGGCTACCTCACGTTACCGGGGCCCTGGCTTTGGGCGCGGTCTACCGCACCACCTAACAGGCGTGTTCGAAACCGCAGGAGATGATGATGAACGGGTTTATCGAAACTTGATTGGATGAGCATATCGGTAATAGCGATTTCAGTGTGTGCATTTATTGTTCATAGTGGTGTGAAATGTGGTTGGGGTACGACCGACAACCCGTCGGGGCGAATTTCGCACTGGGGTACTCAAAATTTGAAGAATTTAAGACGTTTCCATGAGTTTTGAAGGTATGGATAAGTTCTAAAAATCCGGTTCTCCTTATCTGGGCCATTAACTCCATACGGTCCAGGAAAGCTGGCACACTACCTTTAAGCGGTAGGTTTTGCACTTTAACATTTCCGGTTATATCTCAGAAACTAATCTATCTACGATGATGCCATTTTACACGATCATGGCCGCCTTGTTACCCAACAAGTCGATCGCATCCTCAACATTTAGAAGATATAGCCTGAAATATACTATTTTGTAGGTGCAAAACCTACCGCTAAAACCCGCGAGACCCGTACAGTCCTTCCTTTACCATTTAAGGCATTCAGTTTCGGAGATTATCTGGTTTAACCCTCCAATCGTTGTCTTTTCGAAAGTGTGGCCCTGTCTGTGCCTGTTCCTGTCCGGTGTCCACTCGGGTGTTTGTGCCAAGCATCGGGCCTTCAAAGTAGGACATAAAATCATGATTCCAGGTGCCAGTGGTAGGGTTAAATGACCACGGGCTCAGCCACAAAGGGGGGGGGGGGTCACGGGGCCCGCAGGACCCCCAGCCAATTTAGCTAGGGGTTTAGACCCCCACACCCCACCCAATATTCCGGATGCCTATAATCTTGTTTTGGCATGTAAATGATTTAATCATTAACAAAATGCATCTGACCGGTTCAAATACTTTTGAATCATGCTGAGTTAGGATATTATTGATGACACTGGTGCAGCTTTGCATCAGTGACCCGCTGAAAGGTCATCCGAGGTCAGCCATTGAACACACAACAATTTTTTTTTGCTGTACCTTTTGATCTAATAGAGAAAGAGACGTGGAACAGGCAACATTGTGTTTGTTTTGCCCTAGCGCCAGTTCGCTTTGAATTTCGATTTTGATGACCTAAGGTCAGTTCAATTTCTTGACCATTAAAAGTCAATTGGGAAAAAATCAGCTCCCTTATTTTTACACTAAAACGCATCGGAATCGCCTAATATACCATGAGTGACTTCATATAGATCAAATTTGACCACTTTGAGACCTTGTTTGCCCTTGGGCAATTGTAAGGGCATGTGACGTCATTATAGGTCACCAAAGGTTTTTGCTAATAATTACTTACAGGTTTAAGATACAGCGGCGCGGATAGACTCATTGTGTTCAGCTCGTCAAGGCGCATCGAATGATGTGTATGATGACCTTGAGGTCACATGACCTAAGGTCAACTTTGACCTTGACGTGTAAGGTCAACATACATATGTTTCGATGCGGATCGACGAGAGGATCACGATGGTGCTACATATCAGTTGGTTCTTAGCTAGGATACGTCGAAAGTTATCCGAGAAAAACATACAGGGTATCCCATAAGTTCGTTCTCACATTATATTTGCATCATGCATGTAAAACGGAGTAGGTACATTGCGTTTTGATATGTGTATGACCCCTCATTGTGCTCCAAATTTCATAGGCAAACACATGAATGCATGCTGCGGCATGCCAACCGGCATGTTTGGCAGCATAGCACCCCCAGCCTCATCAAAACATTCCCAGCTGACTCAAGGCCCTCAATAATCAGTATTTTCTTCTCCAGTAATCTCCAGTAATAATAATTTTCTTCTGTAATGAGCTCAGTGAATCATGCAAATACTATGCTTACTCAATTCAGTGACTAAGAGTGACATTGAATAAATTACCACAAATTAAGATGCATGATATTTGTGTTTATATTACATCTGATATTATGGTGCTTGGGACTAAGTAAGATATCCAATCTAACATAAATGAAGGTTGGCAAACAATGTCAATGGCTGTAAAATTTATCGACATTCACAACACCATACCATACCATACTTAGTTCCTCTGTTTGGGTAAAACATACAAGCATGTATAAGCAGCCGCCAACCTAACAATATCCAATTTTCTGTAATATTCTAAAAGTTCAGTACAACCTGGGCCAATGAATCAAGTAGGACATGGTGACAGAGAGATCCCATAGCTGCCCAGTGTTCGGGCGTACTGGAAAGCCTCACGCCGGA